AGAAGCAGAATACTCAAGGTATCATTCCAAGCCCTGTCAGTTACATCTTAGTCATTTTTGGAGAGAAGACAGCATCTTTTTATGAGATGTTTTGGTTTAGTGATAAGTGCAGTTATCCTAAGCACACTCCTCTTCCCCATTTGAGCAGGGAAGTTAAATTGAATGGATAAGTCCCTTTTATTTCACTTGAGTTACCTGTTTTCTTCCACTTTACCTATTTGTTTGCTTTCCATCCAGTTTCACTCTTGTCCAGTAATTTAATAAACTTTTAATGAACTTTATAACTAATATTAATATTTCTTTATATCAGTGAGAAGGGCAACAGTTTCATGTTCAGAGCTGTATGTAACATTTGAATATTTCTAGAGGGATTCAACCTGTTCAGGTGAATTTTCCAGTCAGTGAAATATTTGAAAACAATAATACTAATTTGTTCAATTGCAAAAAATCTAGGAATTTTTGGTCATTTTTCTTAAGTACGTGAGTTCATCTTCGCATTTTGTTGAAGAATTTCAATAGTGTTAAGCATAAATTACCTTATTTATGCTTCCTTTGCCTTTTATTTTAACAACCTTTAAAAGAATATTTAGATTAACCTTTATGGCCAACACTTGTGAAGTACACTTGAGTGCACAAAAGGTCATAAATACTTGAAAAAATACTTTTATAGATCATTAGCCTAAGCCATTTAAATTTAGATGGGTATTTATTTAGTTAAAGGTTTTGAGGAGCAATATTACACAGTACTGTGGCATGACATATGGCTTCTGTAGATTGAATTCCAGCTCTCAATGGAAGGTTCCTCAGTCCTGCAACTTTCCTAATTTTTTTTTGTTTAGGTTTGCTGGTTTTGTTGAGTTTTTTTTCCTGCACAAGATACACTCTTCGTTAACAAAACCCCTTGGTGTACTGACCCTTGGAAATTGGTGAGAATCGTTTCAGTCAAGAGGCTGTTGTCTGTACAGCCCTCTGTCTCCCTTCCTGGGATGCCAGCAACATGAGCAGTGAAGGCAGCAGAGAATTACAAAAGCACCAAGAATAGTTTCATGAGTTTCATGACTAAATGTTCAGAAGCCATCCTAGAGCATGACTTATTTTCTTGTTTTTATAGTTCTATGATGGCAGATGAGCCCTTCCCTTTACTTTGGAAAAGTGGTCTAAATTTTCTAGCCACCCTATGTGTGGTTTTAAGCTTACTTTGCTAATGAATTAGGTGTTCAGTGATGTAACAGAAATAAGCGAGACCATTCGAATTCCAGTATATTGTATGAAATTAGTTATTTTAAAATGAAATATTGATGGTTTGGAACTTAAATATTCAAGACTAAGATATTTCAGCATTAAAAAAAGTTCCCCATTTACATGAAACCCTGTCTGCAACTACTTGTGGAGGTTTTACCGTAAGTGTTAATGAATTTCTCATGTGGTGGTGTTGAGCGTGGCAGATGAAGTCAGGAGGAAGTTAATAATTCAGGAAAGGTTTTTAGTAATGTGCAGTAAATAAGGCACAGGCTAATCAAAGGATGAGGAGAGGAAAAAGAACACTGATTAACTGACTGTTAAGATCTTGGTTTTAACCTGAGTACGGTAGAGTCCTGATTAAAATATGTGGTGATGTAGTTAAAGGTTATTTTCTAATGCATGTATGTAAGTAGGTTAATTATGATCGCCCACAGAACACTTGGTGTGTTACACTACCCCACTTCAGAGGGTTTGGTAGAGTAGACAATATTGCTGTGCTGTTTAGTACTTATAGCTTCCTAGGTTTAAATCAATTATATTTATAGATCAATTTAATATAAATTATAGGGATAGAATAATGTTCTCAGGGTTGAAGTTACCTTCAGTTTTGTCTTTTCTTTCTTTTGCATAGATATCTCCATTTCAGTCAAAATTAGAACTGCTGGCACTGGTATTTTTTATTACATTGAATAGTCAATAAAGGAGTCATGGGAGGCACTTTTCCAGTGAGTGTTGTTTGCTGACAGCATTTCTTAGTGATTTGGTTACCAGCTTCAACTTCAGGTTTTCTGCAGTCATTATGGGCCCTATCACTGCTCCCATTTCTGATTTCCCACCTGTCATGGTTTACTTCTGACATTTACCTTTCTTGAGTCCTGATTCCAAAATCTGTCTAGGTCTGGTTCGAGTGTCTTGTCCATGTGTGGTGGTGTTCTCTCCTTTATCTTCTACCCCTCCAGTTTGTTTCGACACAGGATGAGTTGAAAGTACTGGGAAAAAGATGCCTTATTTTTGTTCTGACTGCCGCTATAATACTAAAACAGCATGCTCCACAAATTTATATAACTACCTCTGTGTAGGCAGATGTGTTTAAAGAATTTATCTCTGTCCTTGTTGAATGAATATACACGAGCAAAGTTCTCAAAAGCCTCTTGCTTGGTTTTGTCCATTTGAATGGATTTGTACAAGAGCAATAATACAGGGTACAAACTGATACTCAGGCCTTCTGCCACATTTCAATACTAATTTGCATATATGAGGTACAGCTAATATTTTCTTAAAGATGACATAGAATATTCTGTTCTAACATTGTTTTAGAAATATTTCAGTAATTTCTTCAGAAATTTCTCCAAATTTACTAGGCAGTTGTATGAGAAGGTAAACTTAATTTTAGCAAATACTTTACCAGCTGGAAATAGGAGCTTATAAGGGAAAATAATGGGAAACAAAGGGTTTATGACTTTGTCAGTACTGTGTCTCAGCTTGGTACAGACCTTTTTTTAATGTTGTTTTAAAATATTCATAAGTAGAATTTGTTGTACAGTAAGAGGATAACTGTATACCATTAAAATTACACTATTTTCAGTCTTAATGTGGAGGACTATAGTGCTTAAATATTGGAATTTCAGACATATATTAGGTTTAATTTAAATTTTAAACATGGCTTTTTGTTTCTCTGTTGGTTTGTTGTCTTAGTGTTCAGTAACTTTAGTTGGAGCTGTTTTCAGTTACAGGCAAGTACAAAAATATAGACTGTAAAATGCTCAAATTTGAGATTATTAAGGATTTTTATTTGCAATAACATGACTGTATAAAAAATAATCTTGGCAGTTCCTATTTAGACATTTGAAATTGGTTACACCCATCTTTTGGCTGCATAATACAGGATCTTAGTTCTTAGGAGTGAAGTATATTTACAAGGATGATGCAGCCAATTTCTCTGTTACTGCAGCATCTGTTTCAAATGACTTATTACCCACATATTCATTCCAACATGCTGGTTACTGTCTTTTGAAAATTGTAGTCCTTCACCATAAAATGCTGTTTCTTCTGCAGACAAGGAAATATTTTGCAGCTGCCATAGATGTCTCAGCCACTGACTTGCAGACATCAGGAATGAAGCTTTGAATGATCAAGTCTTGATGAAATATTTGCTAGTTTGGTTAAAGACTACAACACAATATTGCCATTTTAGGAAATACTAATAGAACCAAATACTTCAATAAAACATTTTAAATTCATTTTTTCTAGGGTAGAAGTATTTTTTGTAAATACTGCATCTGAAAAGTGTAGTCTGTAGTGGAGTAGGACAGATCCATCTGGGACAATATCCTGTCATGCATAAAAAAAGACTAGGTAAGGATGAGAGGTTTTTGGGTAGGACAGTGAAACCTCACTAGAGCATCCTCCCAGCCCCTCAAAATGCACAGTGAATGCACTTCCTGAGCTGTAAGTGGTGTCAGTGCATATAACAGGATTGATAATAAGCATTCATGAAAGAAAATAATTGCTTTGTGAAACTTGTGTAACCTTTTGGTATCCATAACATTTCATTGCAAGAATTATCATGACCTAAATTTACACTCTGTAAAGAGCCACTTGTGATGATTTTGCATCTGTCATATAGTAATTTAATTTGGTATCTCCTAGGCAGTGAAGCGTCTTTCATCCTTGTATTGTTCAGAACACTACAGCCAGAGTACTTGCAAGAGCAGTTTGTTCAAAATATTGCAAGCTTCCATGAACTTTTTGGGGTGCAATGTAATTGTCCACATGTTGTCTATATGACTGATAAGTGTGCAGGTCCATTTAAAATTTTTAATGCGCTTTTTTTTTTTGTTCTGATATTAAGCAACTGTTGCGACTGGATCCTTTTTTCAGCCAGTTTTGCTATGCAGATTGCAGCATAACTCTGATCAAAGGCATTGGTTTAGTCTAAAGAATACTTTAAAATAAAATATGTATCTAGGTTGATGGTTTCTTGCAGTTGAGACAGCGACTGTTTCAAAAGAACAGTACTATTAAGTTTGATAGAACTGGTGATGGACTTTTAACTACAAATGTGCTGCCAAGCTGTGTGGCAGTGATTGCTTTGTATAATACATTTTTTAAAAAATATTTCACAAAGCTTAATTTAATCTGTTTGTTGTCAGGCTTTATCATTTATAGGAAGTTTGGAGTGTTGGTTTATTTTTCCCTAGCTCTATTTTCTGACCTACTTCTCTGTTTTATAAATAGAAATAGTTTTCCTCTTTTACAGTCAGTCTACCTGTGTAAACTACAACATAGTTTTTACTAAGAAATTTTTCCAATTTTCGATTTTTTTTCTGTATAATCTTGGAGATTTTTCATATGAATTTCCAATTAGAGCAGGAAGGCCAAATGGTGCAAATGTAATTAGGATAAACAGATGGGAAATTTTAGAAGGTAGTAAAATATAGACATAATGAGGAGCTTTGATACTGAACAGCATGCTTGCTGTCAAACATCCAGTTAATTTACTTGTTATACACTGGAATGTAGGCTGGCTGTTTGTGATACTTCCTTTTCCTCTCTTAAAGGGAACTGCAAAATGTCATTTGATTGACCCAGTTTATCTTGTCAGTTTAAACTAGATTAAATTGAAAATACAAATATTAATTTCCTTCAAATGTGCTGAATAATACAGTTTAATTGTTAAAACATGTATTTAGTAACTACATCGCTTTAAATTTTATCTCAGCAAGTTCTTATTGTAGATTTAATTTTAATCTTTTTAGTTTCTAGGAATAAAATATGTTAGAGATGCTGTATTACTTCTGTTGAGTCAGATAACATTAAGTGGACATGCGTTGCACTTGAATGTGTTGTGATACAGCTGTGGAAAGACAAATCTATTGTAAGTATTACTATAGAATACTGTTGCAATGCATATTTACTTTATATTCAGTAGATCTTTAGCATATTAAGTCGTTCTAAATTCTTCCATGTGAATGCCATTTCTTTTTAAACTGGATTGGCAGCTCTGCTGGTACTTTTTACCACCTTTTGACTAACTGTTTTGTAAAAATCTTCTTTGTCATGTCACATGCTGTTTTGACTTAAACTTAGTTTCTTTACACATTTTACTAATTTGTGGTATCTCCTTGATTGTAGTTTGTCTGATGGCATAATGCTTACATTGTCATTTTATTCAGTGTTTCCATTTTAGCCCTCATTTTGAGGACCTCACTGAATTCTTAGTATTATTCAAGAGTATGCTCAAGTCCACTACAGACTTACGTCTACTTACAGTACATTTGCTAACCTTGCAGAAATTCACTAATTGACATATAAATAGAAGAGAAATGCCAGCTATTTGGTACTGAGAGAAAAGCTGGCTGGTTGCTTTTGATTTTCTTCAGCTTCTCTTTCAATGAATACAGTGTGGTTATGAATGAATTAAGTAATTGCTTTGGCTTGCATTTTCTTTAAGGGAAATTTGGAATACTCTTAAAGCTTTTTCAGCTGTTAGCAATTGAATTACTCTGAAGAGAAATTTAATCGTATTTTTGTCCAGTTTCAAGTAAATCATATTGTGTGAAGAAGTTTTCTGTAAAAGATTTTATAATTTTTTCTGACATTTTAAATAGCTATTGGTTTTCTCTTCTGTTTTATGGAATATGTTGGCTTTTTTGTTGATAATTAATGGTAAAATTTTGTAGGAAGGCTTCTTTTGGATTTCATACTTACAGAAAACTTCTAATTTGTTCATTTTGCTCTGCTTTGTTTGCAATGCTAAATGCACACTGTTAAATTTCCAAAATAGATGTTTTATTGTGAAAAACTGAGATTAAATAAGAAGTAAAAGTTCCATTAATTTAAAGCTCCTTTGATTTGGTGCTGTACAGAGGATTTGAGCTTAAAATCAGATGAGGTAGTTCTTTTTCACAGGAAAAGGTAATGACACACGTGCAAGTTACTTTCTGTATTTTGTGAATATTTGCTATACTGTTTGTTGGTTGTGATAGTGAAGCGTTATTGTAGCAATTACCTTGATAATCAGTGGTCAAATACTAAAAGATTTCTGACAACTTGACATACAACTTTGGCATTAGCTCGCTGTTTGTTCCTTTTGTAGAAGGTTACCAGTTAAATCTGCCTAGTTGCATGAAGCAGAGCCTGAGAGTATGCAAATCAAGCCTCTCGCTTCCTGTGATTGCTGGATTCAGTACATGCTGTTGAGAATGCTGTATTTTCTGAGGCTTTTTGTATTCTGCTCACAGTCTTTGCTGAGCAGAAACTGTAACTAAAAATAACTAAAATTAATTTCTCGGTCTCTCTTTCTTTCTCACTGCAGGATGACGTAGCTTTGCCAAGGATTTATCAGCTAAGCAGAAATGAGCTTAACATCCTGGTTTTTGGTGAGCAGTGGAGGCACCCGACATAGGCTGCCACGGGAAATGATTTTTGTTGGAAGAGATGACTGTGAGCTGATGTTACAGGTAATTGCTTCAGCCTTCCATGTGCAGCTGCTCAAATCATGAACTTAGTGCACCAGTTTCATGCATTCCTTTTGAAAAAGAAATTCCCCAGATGTTGGGAGCGCTTGTTTCAAAGAGTCTTTTGTGTCCTTAGAAAAAAAAAAAGTAGTTTAAATGTGTTGCCATTAATCATGCAGTTACTGCTTAAATACAGAGAATCACATTTTCTTCATATAAATCAAATGCAGAATGCAAAGATAGAAGACGAAATACATTTTGCAGTATGACCAGTAAAGTAAGTAGACTGTGTTTCATAAAATGTGATAATGTTAAGAAAGCTGGATGCTTTTGAAAGGAGCCTTCTTTTTTTGGCAGCTTGTAATCTAATTTAGTCACATGATTTGATGTAACTCTATCCCTATGCCCTGATTGTGTTGTACAAAGGAAAATGAAATTTGTAGAGAAAAGTATGTCTCCGAGGAAGTTGAATAATTTGGTTTAAATAGAATTGAAAATACACAAGTCAAAATAGCTTGATCCTTCAGTAACTTCCTCAACTTTGAGGATCACTTTCTGGAGCTCTTAGATGTGTGTAGCTGTGTTGTTATGTAGCCATATTGCTTGCACTTTGCTCTATCAAAGCTATAGTCCTCTGACCTGCCATTTTCTAATTTTTTTTTATGACTGATGGTAGTATTTTGGGAGCTTCTTAAATTTTTCTCATTTAGTGTAGAGCTCTTAAGAAGTTGGAACTTCAAAACTAGTCTCTCAACCCTTCCTATCAATCAATAAAATATTTTGTTTTGCAAAAGTTGTGTATGCAGCCATTATTGGCCAAATTGGAGTCTTACTTGCAAATGAAGTGCTTAGAGATGTAATCCTACATTTATTACTCAGAAAGTAGTATCGCTAGTAAATTGCATTTGGCTCTCACCCTCAGAAGGCATTCAGATATTTTATTGGTGGTGTTAGAAAGCAGTTGAAAGTAGTCTTAATTTCTCTTTAAAAACAGATAGTATAATGTCTTGATAATTTTTGTGGGCAGTATTTAAAAAAAACCAAACAAACAAGTAACAGAAAAATCCACCAACATCCAAAACAACAAAAGAAAAGCAACCAAAATGCCCCACCCCACTGGTTCCTGCCCAGTAGGTTATAATCCAAAAATGCTTTTATTTTACTAGTAACTTGTTTTAGAGGAGTGTTGTCTGTAAATAAGGGAGAATCTCCTTTCTTCTCTGCTATGCCATCCATAGTAGATCAATCCTTACAGTGAAGCATTTATTCTTTTTTGTTACAGAACTTCACCTTCAAAGGTAGCTGCCTCTTTTGATTAATACTGTGAATAAATTTGAGTTATTTACAAACATTGTTTGTTGTGTATTTACTTCAGAGTTAGTGAAAAAAACCAAGGGGCGTGGGGATTTCAAGAATATTCTTTTTAGCCTGCTGCTATGTTAGGTCTACATGCCAGCATGACTGTAACATCACATAGTGCTGCAGGGGGAGGAACCCACCAAAAGAGAAGCTAATAATGTGTTCTTGTTCTGTGTGTATAGCTCTTTGTGCAAGACCTTCCTTTCCGCTCTTGACAACTTGGTTGTTCTCTTATTACAAAGCATGTGGACAATGCATGATAAAGAAAGCAGAATTTAAGATTTTTATTCATAATTGCTTGACACAAAACATGTTATAAAGGTCTTAATGAAAAGAATTTTGACTCTATTTCATGCTTGATAGACCTCAGATCTCTTCCTGTAAACACTGTTGTTCTAAAACATTTTGTTCACATCTGGGGATACAGATCTGCCTTTTTTGTAAATATGCTCAAGCATAATGTGAGATCTTCCTGTTTAGCTAGCTGCTTCATTGCATCCAATGATCGTCATTTATCCTGCTTGTGGATGAATACTACATTTCCCCCTTCTTTCACCTTTATGGTTAGAAATATTTTGAATGTTGATGGAGAAATCATCTCCAAGGAAAAAAGAAATCTATATTATTCACAATATCAGAATTGTTTGCAAATAAGAATATATTTATTTCTGTATTCTGAATATTGTATTAGTAGTCTGGATTGTATTGAAGAGTATCTATCTAAAATAACACCAGTTACAAATTTATTTTAACTGAGGATGGATTTTTCCTCTTCATATTCATATGGCTTTTACTGCAGTTATTCTGTGATTCTTATTTCTGCAGACATATATAAATCTTTGTACTGGATCTGGTAGGGTTTATTTTAAAGAAGCCATTATAGTACTGTTTTGGATTTGTGACCAAAACACTGTTGATAACACACCACTCTTTTGGCTGTTGCTGAACAGTGTGTGTGCAGTTTCAAGGCATTCTCTCTCACTCTTCTCCTACACACACTGGGGGAGTGCATAAAATGTGGAGAAGGAGCACAAAGCAGGACAGCTGACCCAAACCGACCAACGAGATATTTATTCTGTGACAAATAATGTGTTGTGCTTGGCAGTGAAAACTGAGGGAGGGGCTTTGGAGAAGATACCCACTGCTCAAAGACTGTCTGGGTACTGGGCTGCTTGTAGGAGGTGGGAAGTGGTTGCCTTCTCATCACTTGATTTGTTTTACTTCTTCTTCCTCTTTGTTGCTGAAATGTGACCCATGAGTTCTTTCCTTTGGCTCTTCCTGTTGTATCCCACATCCCGCTGCGGCAGCAGAGAGTGAGTGAGCAGCTGTGTGGTGTTTAGCTGCCAGCCAGGGCACCACAGTCTTACAAGAAGGAATTTTAAAAGCCCTTAAATTTGAATGGAAGGCTGCAATAACAAAGCCAAAGGAAAAAAAGGCATTCAAAAGACTTGCACAGTCTTTGCACGTGTAGAAATCAGCTGAAATTAATAAAAAGTCCAAGTATATGCAGGTAATCTGAGGAGAATTGTTCTGAACATCTGTGATGTTCTGCAGAATTTCAAGTGTTTCTGTAAAAGCCACAAACTTGAGTAATCATTCTTAGCATTTCAGATGATGTGACATAGTATCATGAAGCTTTGAGGATCTTTTCATGTCCTTTATGTTTTAACTTATTTTTAGTAGGATGTAGCACATAAAGATAAATAAATTATTAGTAATACAGTGTGTATTTGAATAACAATATTGAGAGAAGTTCAAATTTTTTTTCAATAGCCTGGGTAAAATAGAGTAATTCTTGGTGCAGTGGTTTTACTTGAGTGTGGAAAAATGTAATGTGTGCTTAATATTGTAGGCTCAGCAAAACTCATGCACATCAATGAATTTCATTGTATTGAGATTGTTTTCATTTTAAAGGTTACTAAGTTAGTAGAAAATGAACCATGTTGTTGTATCTTCATCTGCCATTAAAAGCACTTAACTGATGTAGTATATTAGTGCAGCTTATATTGGCAGGGAACTTGTTCATTTGTCTGTCTCTTCCTTATTCTCCACTTTGACATCTGCCCCCTCCCATTATACCTCTCCAAAATGTAGCACAAAATAAAAACTCTAAAAATAAAATAGTAAGTATAACCAGAAGAACAGTGATCTCACTTCTTTGGGGAGAAAACAAGTAGTCATAAGATTAAATGGAAAGGAAGAATGAAAAAATAAAAATAAGGAAAATAAAAATTGTAAATAAGGAAAATAATAGTAGCAAGTCTCAAGATATGGCAGAGGAGTGAGGTGATAACTATGGGATTACAATAAGAGAAAACATTTCCTTAGGAATACTGGTTGTGTGTTCTCATGCCTCGCACTGGCCAGTGCACTTGGTAAGGTGGGACTCCTAGAACTGACAAACCACAAAATGCTGGTACACAGAAGTCACAGAAGTCTCAGACAGAAATGTACGATTCTCTGTGCAATACAGTCCTGAAAAATGAGTTGAGTAGCAAAGACAGAAGATGCAAACCTGGAATTAGGAACTATGCTGGCGGAAGGAATTTGCTGCTATGCAGTCATGTTGTGACAGTGCACTAGCAGAATTAAGAGCAAACATAAGATCAAGTGTGGGCTGATGGAGAGGATGAGCTGTGGTCTCCGTTCTCTTGGGAGCTCTTGAAGATGTCCAGGTGCTGACCATATGCATGCATGGAGGAGACACATCCAGCCCCACCTCCCTTGCTTGCCATCAGTACCTCAGGCTGCAAACACTTGGCAAGGAGTGAGTGATGAAAGAGGGACTTGGCTGTTAGGGAGCTGCTTTTCTTGGATGAAGTAGTAGCCAGGGTTGTTCTGCATCTCTGTGGTGATGTTTGGATGTGAAATAAAGAATTCATGAAATAAATAAATGGATACTGATGTGCTTAAGGAAGGACTGAGAAAGTCAGGACTGATGGAAATAGTAATCTAGGAATTGCTCAGACATGTAGTGAAGAGGCTATAGCTAATTGGTTGAGGAAATTGAAATCAAGGAGAAACACTCTGAATGCTTGTGTACTATGGTAATTATCCCAGATGTGTGACAGGAAATGGTGTGTTTGAGAGAGAACAACAGCCCCCTGGAATCATAGTCATGTCTTGAATGATGCATGTAATTAAGGGGGGAGAGAAAGAGAGTAAGAAATAAAATGAAGTTGATGATATTAGATTAAACATCAGCGATACTAGAGTGGACTGAAAAAAAACCCTTTGGATATATCTGGATCTGACATACCATATTTAGGGAAGCAATAAGAAAATAATTATTTTAAATTAATTTTAGGATTCTAATTATTTTAAATTAAAGTTAGGATTCTGCTATGGGTACCTGGAGTTGGGTTAGAGATTTCATTTTCATATGTGGGATGATCTTTTTTATATAATTTGAATAAATGTGCTGTGTAGAAAGAAAATAATCACACTGCTCTAAGAAATAACCATTACCACTTTGTGTGGTTTTCAAATACCTTATTTTATTTTCTTTAATATATTTTAGTCACGGAGTGTGGACAAGCAACATGCTGTACTCAACTATGATGCCTCTACAGATGAACACTTGGTGAAGGATTTGGGCAGCTTGAATGGGGTAAGTTAACATCAGAAACAGATAGCTTCCCATAGTGTTCTGTATCTTTGTTTTGGGAATTTCTTTGAGCCATTATTAATTGCACATTAATAACCTTTTTAGTCTGAGTCTGGAAATGGGGGAACATACAAAAGAAAAGTGTATTCTTTGCAGGGGTTTTCCACTGCACGTTTTACAAAGGGCTGCTGTTAATTCCAGTAATAAGAGGGCCTTGGCAGTAAGAAAAGCTCAGAACAATAAAAAGGAGTGTGTTACTTATGTACTTGCACTGGTTGTATGTGGAAAAAAATAATTATGCAATAACCATGTTGTATGAAAATCTATTTAACAAATACTGTATTTGCATTTAGTTTTTCAGAATCATTAAAAATCTCAATGAATACTTTGTGTCAAGTAATTGCAAACTAATACAGGAAAAATCCAGTTATGGGAAAAGTAAAGTTTCAGATGATATTTTATGTTCTAAGGCTTTTCTAGGAAGTGCATATTCAGAAGTCTAGCTAAGCATCACTTTTTATAGAAGTTTTTGATACTATAGCAAATTATTAAAAACATAGTAACTTTGTTATAATTTTGTAGCCCTTTAAATACTTCTTTATGACCTGTGTGTTTGCAGTTGTTATGGTTGTTATTTTATAACTTTAAATGCTTGGCCCTGTCATGAATATGTACAGAATAAAATCATGAATTCATCTGTGACTACCTATTTGAATAATATTTAGAAAGCTACTGATAGTGAATAGCTTTGTGAAGTACTTAAATAAATAGAAGATTAAGATGAACTCTCAAGTTACTGCCTTTTGATCTTGACGTGCATTTCAAAATAAAACTCTGTCAATGTCTCTATTAGCTTTTCTGTATTTTAAGGTAACTAACTCAGCCTTGCAAAGAGTCAGACTCAACTCCATGTGAAACCATTGAAGGCCTATATCCTTTGAACAGTTGTAGCCATACAAGGACTTCGGTCCTTAAATATTTAATACACCAATGTATTTTCAAAGACAGTATGCTGTTTCAAGGCAGTGATGAAAAATAAGTTTAGCACATAGAATTTTTTTGCTGAGACATTTGATTTTATTCCCTAGTTGTGCAACTTCTGTAGTCAGTAGGCATGCCTTCAGATTTTTGTTGCCTTGTCACAAATGGAATTTAATAGAAATATATGTTAAAAGGTCTTCATTCAACTCCTTTTTTGCCTCTGATAAAGAGCTTTCAGTGATTTGCTTCACTTGATCTAATTAATTCTCAGGTTTGAGGTGAAGCTTCAGTTGCTTTAGAGCTGATTACTCAGAGACATCAAAGGAACTCTTTCTTCCTACTGTTTTGGGACAAGGAATATTACATATCAGGACTTCAGTCCTTTCTCTTTTGTCTTCACAGTGTTTTCCTTACTATCACTTTTTCACTGTGCTTTTCTTTCATACCTCTGCTTACTTGGTTAACGGATAAAACACATTATTTTTGTAACACCATATACAATTGTGTGGCAGAACAATGGCTCAGTACCATATGGTGAACTAGGTAATAATTCTTCTAGTCTAGTTACTGTTTCCACTGAGAACACCACCTCCCTAGCAGCCAAGTGCCTCTTCTAGTGCTTCAGCAGCTTCTACCCTGTCTTATTTTGCATACTACATGGAAAAGTTTATTTTGCATCTCTCTAGTTCTCATCTCTTTTGAGAAGAGATGCATACTTTTCTTAATATAAAGGATTGCTCCATTCCTGGTAGAATGCACTTTAACCTCTAAAGATAATTCAGATTTTAAGGGGAGGTGGCTAATACCAATATTTTTGTTTTGAATGTTATGACTGTTATAATTTAACAAGCTGAACTGTGGTTGCACTTGATGTCCTAATGCCTGAATATGTATGGTTGATTCATACTCACTTCAGTGAAAAGGTTACAGGAGTCTTTTTCCTGGACTTTTAAATCTAGAAGTCTTTATCCTGGACATCTAGATTTGGGGAAAAAAAAAAAAAAGAAGCAAAAGTAAGTTTTAATCAGTTTTGCATCAAGTAAAATTGTATTTCTGATAGTTTGTTGTGACTCATTCTGGACAGTGCTGTTTTTATTTTTTTTTTCCATACAAAAAAAGATTAAGGAATTTCTCTTTTATGAAGCAAATATGTGCAGTTGCTAGTATGTAATTATTATTTCCCTAGTATCAGTAGAATTCAACTGTATATTTTTCATTGACTTGTTAACTCAAACATACCAGAAAAAGTATTAACAATCCATGGCCCTGTTGAGTAACATTCTTCTCAGGAATATTTACAGGATAGCAAAGTCCTTTCACACTGATGTTTCAGAACTGGATTCTGCAAAGCTTAGCAAACTTTATGAAGGCTTAAAGACAGTAGACTCTCACTATTTGAAGAATAAACTTTAGAAATCACGTGAATGGAGTGATTTAAAGGAGCAAAGGATTCTTTATTTACAGAGTAACTAGCTTTTTCAAGTTAGCTTTGTCTGGCATCCCAGAGCATGTGATGAGATTTTAAAGCTGCAGGGGCAGAGTAACTAAGACTTGGTTGTTTTATGCCATCACTTCAGTCATGAACATGAGGCTGTCAGTAGACTGTACAAACAGTCTGCTGGAGTTCTCTGCTTTGGGTATGCTGTGCATGCACACGAATTTCAGAACTCTGACCTGGGAGGAAAAATGCATACATACATATAGATATAGATGTCTGTAAGGCGGCCTAAATTCTGTTGGTTCACTGAAATTCAAGTGCCTTGGGGATAGTCTTCACAGAGATTTTTGCCCTGGACTCTCAAAATGTTAAAGTGCAATAAATATGCCTGAAATATTACTGAAAGTCTCATGCTTACAAACCAGTAAATAGAACCTTTTCTTCTTATTTCCCATGGAAGATATTTTCTACAAAGTAGGCAAACAGTTTTTGAAATAATAAAAAAAACATTCTTTTCCTTTAGGAAAAAGTACATTTATTTTCCTTTAGGAAAAGAAAATTAAATAGAAGATCCTCCTGCTATTTTGGGGAAGGGGATTGTTTCTCTCTAACCACAGTTCATTTAATACTAGACTCATGAGCAACACAACAATTCAAATATTTGGATTTTTGACTTATTTAATTATTCAAGTTTTTCCAGCTTCAGAGTGCTTATAAAATGGCATATTTGAACTGTTCCTTTCTTTAGAGACATGTACATGTTGGAGAATTTTCAAGTTAGAAGTAGGATGATCCTGTAGGGTTGCAATATACTGAATTCTTACCACTGATCTTTGGTGTTACTCAGGTGCACAAACCTGGTTCATGTTTTCTTAAGTGCTTTGACAATTATTACAAATAAGCTGCCTCAGTTCTCTCATATCCAGCGCTAAATGCTGTACAAATACAATGATAAGTCAATTCTGGGAGTTAATTTGGATTGAAAAGAGCAAATTACAATAAAAATAGTAAGTGGAGGTGCTAATTCAAGGAAACCTTAATCAACATTTCCATGAATCTTGCTAACAAGATTAAATGTGCAAGGAATTTTTCAAAGCCAGTATGCAACTTGGTAGTCAACTGGTGTTTTACCTTCCTTTTGACATAGTTTGTTGAACAGCTGGCAATTTGAGCTTATAGTTTCCTTGGGAATCACCAGTAGAAAATTTGTAATGCAGAAGACTTTCTTATACAATTATTTAAATTATTTAATTTTGTTGTTTTGGAATTTAATGGTGTTTCTTTTTATTCTCATTTGTTTCTGCAGACATTTGTGAATGATGTGAGGATTCCAGAACAGACATACATCACACTGAAGTTAGAAGATAAACTGAGATTTGGATATGATATCCTTGCCATAAAAATGCAGTGTTGGGATGCACTTTTCTTGTTAGAAGTATTGTTGTGTTAAGTGTTCTCATTGCTACAAAAATGCCTTTATTAGGGAAAATCTCAGGGTTTAGGATATTCTACCTAAATAAAGTACATTTTGTTGTCTTTCACTGCAAGAAACCTTAACTTTGAATAACGATTTAGAACATAACGTGTATCTTCTGTGTTGATAAAAAGTACTTCTTTTCTTTGAGGCAAATACACAAATGTTTGTATCATATGTAGTTGTATACCAGCAGATAAGATAAGATTCTAATTAATTATTTAGCAAACCACTGAATGAAAAAAAACAGACTTGTATTATTAAAACACTCAATGTTCTGTTTACATATAGTAAATAACTTCATTTGCTTTGATGAATATGGTAACGTTACAGTATCCTAACAGTGACATATTTTAAAAGCTGTCACCATTCTAGTGGCATAATAGGCTGCACAATTATTACTTTTCTGTAAAATCCTCTTGTGAATTCAGAGTTTTTCAGTGCTTTCCTTATCATTTCCCACATACTAATCTTTTTACTGTGGTCAGGGGAGAGATGAGAGTCCCTGAAGAAGCACTCAAGGTAACAATGTGCAGTTCCTGGATGTTTTTTTGTCAATGAACACTTATTATAACATAGAGGGGTTTTTTTTCCCACTCTTTGAGGTTTTGTGTTTTATTCTCTATTTAATGCCATGTAGCATGAAAAATTCTCAAGCCAACTCCAGTTATCCCAAAAATCATCAGAGGCAGAAGGATCGAAACAAAGCAGCTCCAAAAGTTCAGAGTCCAAGGTAACTGACTCCACAGCTGAAGTGCACCACAAAACTACAGAAGCACTGAAATCTGAAGAAAAATCAATGGGTAAGGATCATTTTTTTGTTGCAGAAGCACAAAAGCTTGGAAAGGACGCTAATTTGCTTCAGTAGGATGATTGTGAAATTCTGTAGACAGTAAAAATTTCACATATCTGAATATTTAACCATAGTTTAGATGTAAATAATATTTTTGGCAGTTAATTTCTACCTTTTTTACAGTAACATCCACAGGTTAAGAAAATTTTTAAAGAGAGATTTGGTCGGCATGTGTAAGATTTTTGCATGTCTCTTTGCCCAAATCATAAACTTGTAGCATTTGTGGCAGGAAATTGCTTTTTTTTTTTCAGTTTAAGTAAAAGTATTTGTTCAAAAACAGTTTGTACTTTTTACCATTACCAAGTGCACTATTTTTTTCGTTTCATTGGTTTGGGTTTTTTTCCCTTTTTAAATGGGCAGGAGTTCTGTTTGTTTTTAAGTTCCTAGCATTCTTTGTTTGATGTCTCAGGATATAACCTTAGTATTCTATTGTGGTTTAAACATTTGTAGATACTGTAGTTTCAGGCTTGTTCCTACACCATCATTCATATTTATTAAATGTGTTATGGTGGCTCTGCTGTGGTTGTCTTAACTTCGTGTGGGTTGTGCTGCACCCAGTTCTGGGGGCCCAGGGTTTGGACCTGTTGGAGTGAGGCCAGAGGAGGGCCCAAAAGATGAGCAGAGGGCTGGAACAGACAGGCTGCAAGACAGAGTTGTTCAGCCTAGAGAAGGAAAGGCTCCAGGGATACCTCCTAGCAGCCTTTTAGTACCTAAAGGGAGCTGGTCAAAAAAGAGGGAGAGCATATTTTACACAGGCAGCTGGTGATAAAAGACTAGGTCTGATAGTTTTGAACTGAGAGAGGAGAGATTTTGTTTAGATGTTAGGAAGACATTTTTTACTATGAGAGTAATGAGCCACTTGAACAGGTTGTCCAGAGAGTTTGTGGATATCCCATCCCAGAGGATTCAAGGCTCTGAGCAAAGTGATCTGGCAAAAGATGTTCCTGCCCATGGCAGGTTCCTTCCAACCCAAACCATTCTTTGATTCTCTGATGAACTTCAGCATGAGGCTTGCTGAAGTATATTGGATATAACCAAAAGAATGAGAAAGGGATCAGGTATTGTTGTTTCCTTAATATGGAAGCAACTATGTCTGATTTCTAACCTGATCAGTGCTCAATAGTTTTGTTTAGGTTTCTTCTATTTTTCACTTCAAAAAATTCTCTTCCCCACATACAGCATTCTGTGGTATACTTAATTGACCTGTTTGTTTTGTTGTCTAACTCAGCATCTTGTTACAGGTATATAAAGTAGCACAATGAGGGGGTTTTATCCTCACCTTCTGTTTTTTTCACTCTTCCAAAAATAACAGTCAAAGATAGGATTAATATTTGAGTGCAACTCTCAGAAGCTTTTTGGGGATTGATTGTGTCACTGTTACTATATAAATGCACATTGCTCATTATTGCTAATGCACAGGAATAGAATTATGGAATGGTTTGGTTGGAACAGAGCTTAAACATCACCCCTTGCCATGGCCAGGGACACCTTGCACCAGACCAGGTTGCTCAAAACCTCATCTAGTGTGTCCTGGAGCACTTCAGGGATGGGGCATCCACAAATTCTCTGTGTAAACATCAAGATTTTAAAAAAAAATTAATATGGACTAAGGCCTAATGCTGTGTAAAAAGGAAGTACTTAATGTCTTAAGATCATGTTGAAACCTTTGTCATGGCTATGAAATCATCTTTGGAATGCAAGTGTATAAAATACTGAAAAAAATGTTGATATTCCTAATCAGAAAAGTAGCAGACAGGCTCCTAAAATAGATTTTAACATATGATATTTTATTATGTAAAGACTCTTTATAATTCATTCAGAACATCTCTATGACACTAGAATAGCTAAATCTCTGTAGGGTGAAGTATTCTTCCAAAAGATAAGATCAAACCTAACCAAGCCAATTTATCATCAGGTTAGAAATCTCAGTTAAATCAGTGGGTTTTTTCTTACTTGATTTTTGCATTTAAACATATTTAACCATGTGTATCGCACTTTTACTTGTACTATAATTTAACTGATACCTTTAAAAAAACCCCTAACCTGTAAAATTGATTGTGGTCAGTAATGTTTTACACATAAGGTAACTTTCAGCGCACTGTAGTAGCTGTCAGCAACTTGGAACCTTGGCAACATTGCAAAATTTGATCAGTTTTTCATGCAGTGAGTTCAGATTTCATTGAAAGGTCAGTGTGAATAAGAATGAGAATCTTACAGAAAAACAGCTTCTATGAATGTTCTGCTGTCTTGATGACATCAAACTGAAAGAAGAAATAATATTTACAGATATATCAGGGTAACAATAAGAGATGGTGGCTGCCTTTGCATAAACATTTGTGCCAGAAGTTTTGATCAGGTCATTAGTAAGCTTTTATATTTAGAACCCAGATCAGTTGTCTGGCCTCCGAGTTTGTTTTGTATTTAGGCAAATGCATGCAACCATTTCACTTCAGCTTCCCGGAGAAATGATCCAAGCAAATTACTTCCTCTTCATATGATTTTTAACTTAAATATCACAGCTAAACAGAAAAGTTATTTCCTCTGCTTTGGGCTGACTTTATAGATATTTCTGCCATGCCTCGTGGGACACCTTTGTATGGACAACCAGCCTGGTGGGGTGAAGATGAAGCTGATGAAAAAGGTGGTTGTAAGCCAGATAGCAAGAATGAAAAAAAAATGCCTGAGACAGGGGCTTCAGGTAAGTGTGTCTTCTTATTTTTGGGATCTTCTTTCTCTTTACTGAACTGTATATATTCTGAAATAGGGAACTAAACAGACGTTGTAAATTTCACAATTTGCATAGATTAAAGCCTATTAAAAGGTAACTTAGTTGAAGAATATATTTTTATGAGAAACTGTGCATTTACAGAGATCAGTTTCACATATAATGTGTCAGTTTTCTAGTATATAACATAATTTTCAATCAGTAAATATAACAAATAGCATTACCTGACCTGAAATAGTGTCTTTTTTTTTTTTTTTTTTTTTTTTTAGTTTAATCCATATCTGTCATTTTAAATGCGTAGGAGTATTTTATTGAAATAATTTCTGAAAATAAATGGTGGGTTTTATATTTGCATTTGACTTTTAGCTATATAAGGTTATCTGTACTAACATTCTCTTCTGTAATTCAATAATGCTGTATTAGTAGGAATTGCATGTCATAGTTCTTGAAGTAAAGATTTGTGTAGTCTAAAATTAAACTGGTAATGTTTATTCCCCTGTAATACAGACCATTTTATTAGTTAGCTTGTCTAGACACAGTATGTATTGCCAGAACTTCAATCTCACTACCTATAATTAGGCTTTTATATCTATCGTCAGGCATATAAATAAAGTGACTGCTATTCTAATAAAGACAGTAACTTAAAACGTATTCAAGTTAGGACAAAATTCAGCTATGTTTATTTGGCACTTTAGACACACATTTAAAGTCCAACAGTTTTAAGTTTGCAGTTTTACAAAGTATTTTAATTGAGGTCAGAATTTCTCTTTTCCTGTCATGGTACTTGCTTTGGTTAACATGAATTATATTTTGCAGGAGCTGGAGTGCAGTCTAAAAACATGTAAATCAAACTAAATGAATGCTTCAGGGTAGTGAAGGCAAGATCTTTGGAATTAACTTTTTACCATAGCCTTTTTAATGACCTCTTTCATATTATTCTAAAGTTAACATTCAGACAGTAGAGTAAATCTGTTAAGCTTTGGACTATTATAGAGAAAGCAGATAAAAACATTTAAACTAGTTTCCCTGCATTAAATATAGGATTATTGAAAAGTTATATGCTGAAGTCTGTGTTTTTATGCAATGCCTTGCCATTAACAAGGTGACACAAGATGCCAGCTTATATTTGTAGTGTGCTTGTTCTCATTTTTTATAATTTCAAATTGCTTTTTCAGAAGAATCAAATTGCATCAAATGGTTTACATGATCTTGTATTTCTTTTATCAAGAGATTTTTCAGGAGATGATCAGTGCTTTTATCTTAGTTCCTGAGCTGCAAGAAAAATAAGATTCCAACTTTCGCTCAAACTTTCGCTCATGGAGTTACCATCTGTTTCAGTAGTAGACAAAAATAAGTTTGTTCTAGACTCAACTTAAGTAATGGGGATATTTTTGACATGATTTACTTAGTAAAGTCATCATAAGGTAAATGATGAAAAGAGAAAATGGATTAATATTTTCTAAATTATATAAATTTGCTTGTTTGTTTTCCATATATATATACTATACAAAAACTAAACTTAGGCCCAAAGCCTTCTTGGCAAATACAACATTTTGTCCTTTTAAAAAAAAGTATTACAAATCCCTTTTATTTATGTTGTTGCTTTTGTTTAGCCATGAATGTATCTCCTATGAATTGTATCGATCTAACAAGAGTATAAGAATAGCTTTTATTTCCTCAAACTGAAAGACTCATAAATCTGCAGGAATGGAATTCGGTTTGAAAAAGCACACACTAAACAAAAGCTTATGTGAAAGGAAGACACTGCTGAGAAAAATCCCAAACCCGACATTTTTGCAAAACCATTCAATTTGTGAGGATGTAGAATTAAAATCCTGTGTATACACAAATTGTCTATCGTGATCTCCCAATCTTTGAGCAGATATTAATTGTATGTTCTGCTAGTCTGGTTTCTCAGAGAGTCTGAGAAGATAAACTGTGTAAGAGTTGACATTCGCTGACACTTCTACAGTCTCAGAACACTGTGTCTATGTAGAAGTGTGCAAAAGACATTATGTTATTATGTATTTTCTTCATACACTTAGGTTTTATAATTTAGATGAATATATTTTATATTGATTATGAATTATTATAAGATTATAAGATATATTATTGAATATATCTTTATATTGATTTAGGAAATCAATATAAAGACACACTTGTATGAAAGAAAATTGGAAACTTCAGAAGACTGTCATGCTTGGGTATTTTTAAATTATAAGCAAACTTTATTAAAAATGTTCAAGATTGGTGCAGCTAATTATTCTTTTGTTGGTAAACTGTATTAAATGTTTAAAACACTGATCTGGGACGTGCTTTTTAATATACACTGCCTAAAAGTAAGTACATTACAGGTGAATTCTTAAATCAAACCAGTAAGTCAGATAACATTTTAACAAAGTAATCCTATTAAAAATTTGTGTCATGCTTTAATGATTTATTGCATGATTATTTATTGAATACAAAAGAAGACTTGAATTCTAAGAGATGGGGTAAGGTTTAATGAGGAGCTTGAACTGAGAGATTTATTTCTGTTAAGCCAACTATAGACAATTACTCTTTATAGTCTCAAGTTAATAGGATTATTTCAATGTTACTGTATTTCTGCCACAACAGAAATTCACTAATGAAATTTATTTGCAAACAGAGTAGAATAGCCTGGAAAACTTTGAAAAGAAAAATCCTTTCTACATTTTTCAGACATACGTAATGCTCTAATTCAATGATCCAGAGATCTACTAGTCTGTATTAAAATGAACAGTTGTGTGTAAACCTCTGGCATGACTTTATGCTGCAGCTGTTAAATGTTCATGTTATTGGCAGGTTTATTGGCTGTGTAATTATTATTACTGCCATATGTTACACTCTCACTTCCTAGGATAATGAAAACTGCATTCTCTGCTGATCTTATTTGTAGTTGTAGAATTTTATGTCATTTTTGCCTTTACCAGAAATCTAAGAAAAGACAGAAATAAGTTTTTAAGAAGACTTCAGGAATCTAAAGTAAATCTTTCCACTTGGTAAAAATTTTAATTCCAGCATTGCATGAGAATATGTCAGATTCAACATTCCTAGCATTTAAGAAACAGTGTCATTTTCAGGTAAAGCAGGCTGACAGTTACTTGAGAAATGCCAGTGTAATCAGTGTGTGTAGGAGGTTACACACATTCTAACGTGTGATGCTTAATCAGCAGTATTAGCAGTTAAGTTCCTAGAAGTTTGTTCTAGAATTTTGATGAGTTTTGTCATGAAATATGTGCAAGTGCTGCATATAAGGCTTGCTTGGCAAAGCTCCTGTAGCAAATGTGCACAGTATGTCATGGAGAGCTTACAGAACTCTAAAGACCCATCACAGCAATACATTTAAGTAAGATTAGTTTTGTCCTTTTTTCACTGAAACTCCTTTAAAGCAGGTAGTTAAATGATTTATTATGAGAGATGGGGATTTATATACAGTACTGGTTTATATTTCTATTTTGAAAGAGCAATTCTGATTTTTTTTCATAAGACTGTTTATGAAAGCATTAAAAGACAAATATTTTCATATTCAATGCTAGGTGAATCATATGTATTTATTGAAATCTTGTCTTTAAATAAAAAAAGAAAAGTTTACTTCAGCTGCAAAGCAAAAAACCCCAAAAAACTAAAATGTAAGTGGGAAGTAAAAAGTAGGGATATGAAGAAAAAGGAAAAAAAGAAATTCTATGAGTTAATTGAAAGCGCTAAATTCAGCTTCTTTTATTACACATACCATTGCACAGTGCCAAATAAAAAGCTAACATTGACAATATTTTGGGATATTGTGTAAATATGGCATTTTGGCTGCTTTTTATACCTACTGCTAATAATTATATTGCTTCAGGTTTACAGACATGTTTTACGGTGGAAGTGCTTTGTAAATTCCAGATCATTTTCTTTTACCAGTTTCATTCTTAAAATTGTATTTATAAGGCAGAAAGAAAACAGCATTACTAAAAATCTGAAGATTGTGCAAAATATTTTCTGAGACTTTCTGTCATTGTAGATGATGATATATTACTATACAGAGGCAGTTTTTTGCATATCTGAATAGCACTGACATCTATGATTTTTCTTGTCCAGGTCAACAAGTAAAATGTTCAAATTCTGGCTACTTGTGTGTGTAACTTGAGAAATAAGACTTAAACCCAGAAAGTCCTAGAAAGTGTAATTGATTCTGCTAATGTCACAAAGTGAATGTTGCATTTCCAATGGTTATCTCTGAATAGAATAGAATAAATAGAAATCATTGAGGTTGGAAGATACCTTCAAGATCATCCAGTTGAAGCACCCATCCAGCACTGTAACCACTAAACCATCACCCAGTGCCACATCCAGATGCCTCTTGCACAGCTCCGCGGATGGTGACTCCACCATATCCCCGGGCAATCTGTTCCAATGCCTGACCACCATGACAGTGAAAAAAAATTTTTCTAGTGTATAATCTGAATCTCCCTTGTTTCAGTTTAAGGCCATTTCCTCTGGTCCTCTTGCTCCAGGCATTGTAGAACAATCCAGCCGCACCTCACTACAGGCACCTTCCAGGTGGTTGTAGAGAGTGATGAGATCCCACCCGAGCTTCCTCTCCTCCAGACTAAGCAAACCCAGTTCCCCCAGTCATTCCTCAAAAGACATGTACCCTAGTAAAGGATCTCTCTCTGAATCTCCCTTTGGTTAAGGCTGTGGTTTGCCAAATATTCCATAGTTTCCCTCCTAGCCTCTCCTAGACTCATTTCAATCATAGTATCATTGCACCTGGGTGGCAGCTACCAATTATTGCTTCCTTGCTTGCCTTGTAAAAACAGTTGCTCTGTTGTGTTTTGCCACTCAGGATCTTTGAAGAGTGAGAAGTCCCTTTTTACAGATAATCCTGCTACTTATTCTGCCCCTTTTGTTTTAGTCTTGCCAGTTATAAAATCCCTTCAGTCCCTGAAGAGACTGAAGTTCACAACCTACCCAAAACTCACTTGCAATTGCCTTTCTTGCTATAAATATACTATGCTTTCTCTGGTTTAAAAATTATATAGCAGTGACAACCACTATCTTCAGTATTTGCTTGAAGGTTATCTCTTAAAGGTGTTGGTATTTAGTCTGATATATAATTTCCTTCATCTTAGCAGATGACTTTTTGTAGTAGGATTTCAAAGGTAAGGCTGTTTTATAAATCACTCTGTAATATTTAGAAAGCTGTAAGTACTTGCATTTGGAGTCTGTGAGAAAAATATTGAAGGGTGGTTCAGATCAGGATCTATATTAATTTTTTGCTTCATCATTTTCTATTTCTTATTCTAGTCAATTCTGATGTATTTAACTTTCCTAAAAATGCATTTCTGTGTACTAAAAAAGTGCTTCTGTAGTTTTTAAGTCTGTACACCTATAGTCTAAAAAATATTTCTGACTGAAAATAGGATTTTTCTGTAACTAAAATTAACTTATATTTTAGATATTTTTATTTATATAATTGTTAAAAATTTTCTAATTTAGTAAAATTTACTACTTAGTTGTAGTTCAGTTTCTCGCTTCTTTTAATTAAACTCTCTCTTAATTTAGATTCAGGCTATATACTATCATCTGTTTAATGAAAAATATTGGAATCAAATACTGTGCATATTATTACAGTATAAACAGTTAATTTGAAATGTTAAATTTTGTGTAGACAAGTTTCACACAAATTTTTTTTATGACGTCCATCAATGCTGTCAAGCCAGTGTGGGAGATCCTGTCATTGCTATACATCTGATGCAATTTGCCTACTTACTGTCTTATTATTTTCAAAAGATGGTAATAAACCAGGTATTTCATAATTACTGAAAAATACTGTGTCTTGTGTGACCAGCAGAATGCTCCTGCCTTGCGCAAAATTAGAAATATTTCTCAAAACAAAGTATTAGCCAGTTGTCTTCTTTGAATGAGTGTTGAACACTATATCTGGCTTAATTATTGTCTACAGGAATTACATGATGTTGTCAACATGAAGTTCTGAGTAGAACCACGTGGGGGAAAAAAAAGTTGTCTGAATTGTTTGTGTGGTGGATGACTCTCCTTTTCGGTGACCGTGTTTCATATTTTAAGGCTCCAAGCTCTATATTTGATCTTGCCAGAGCTTGATCCATTCCAGCTTGTTTATTACACGAAACAAATGGAGTGTTTACCTAAAGTCTAAGACCTCAAAGTGTGATTTTTGTTTATTTCTGTACATTTTCTATATCAACAGAGAAGATTTTTAATAACCGTCACATCAGTAAAATAGATTCATTCTGTATTGTGTGTCTGCTGGGATAAGTGTTTTCAGGAATGGTGTCAAAAAGGCATTCCTTTCCCAGGGAGAGGAGTAGTGAGGTGCTATTGTAGTACCTGATAACTCCCTCACAGACATAAGGTAGCTGATAGTGCAATGAAAAGAATTAGGTAGGAGATTCTTGAAATCCAACAGCACAATAGAAAAACCTGTCTGAGTTTTGAACATGTTTTGTATTTCTAGCAGCTACTGGTGGGAAAAAAAATTAAAACTTGTTTGTTACCTGCATTGGAGTAATTTTAGCCAATGGCTATCCAAACATGGCAATAATAAAGAATGTGTACTGTTCTTGTTTTCATTCAATAACACCTTTTTGTTTTACTTTTCCAGGTATTATTCTTTCCTTTAGTTTATTTCTCTGTATCACACAACCTTTTTTTTTTTTATATTTTTAACTTGTTCATAAATCCTCACAAGAAACGTGCTTGTGAGGAGCAGCACAGGTGCATTATTCCATGCTTCATCCTTTACCCCTTAAATTCCTGACTTCAGTATAAATGGTTCTATTGCTATCTTGCTGCATAATAGTTTAATACACAAATACTAACTTCCTCATCTGATGTAGGCTTGCTTTTTTTCAGTACCTAAAATCAATTAGTTGCAGTCTTAATTCTTTACTTGGCAGCTGAAAGGTATCTTAAACATCTTAATGTGGTCCACGATAAATTGCTTCAGAACTAATTCAGAATTCTTTTGCTGGAATCTATGTTGCTGTTGCTGCTAAGGTTTCTGCTACTTTTAGCACATCTCTGCACCAGGTATTTTGGCTGACTCAGTAGTTCATAAAATGCAGTCAGGTTTGTTTGTTTATAGGCACATTAGTACCTTTGCTGCAACCACAGGAAGTTTTAGCCTTCATTTAGGCTATACAGTGGAACTTGGAATTACTACCCTGTGCTTTTTCTACTTTCTCGTTTTAGCCAGTGAGAGTATGGCTTGCTAACATTCTGCATGCTTCCAGCTATTGTTCCTTTTTCTGTTCATCTACATACTATGGCAACAAGTAACATAAGAGGACATGACAATAGGATTTAGCTTGATTCTTTGGTTTTATCTTTTGGAGAAACACAGTCTTTGAATTCCAAAACACTTTCCAGTGCTTAGCAGTGTTTAACTTTTCAAGCCAGAATTAATGTTTATCTTGCATTAATGTGTGAATTATTTTTGTGAAGAATTTGGCCAAACAAAATTATGCTTTCTATCCACTGCAGGAAATGGAAGATCATTAGCTCTTGTTTTGGAAGCACCGTGATTGGATGTTTTTTCCAACAGATTGGAATTGTGATAATGATAATCTCAACAACTTTGCAATTTTTATTTGCTAATTTTCCGTATTCTAAAAATATTTTGCATGCAGTTTGACAAATTCTAAATGAGCTTTTTGCCACTTTACACTTCTCAACAGCTGAAGTACAAACTGCCTTTTCATTCATACTTTTTATATGCAATTCTGGAGCTATTTTTCCAGAGTTACAGTGCTCAATCTACTTCACAATCTTACTGTTTATTACAGAAGTTACTCAAGTGGCCTTTAAAGGAGTTGAGAAACTTCTTGAAGAGCCTGAAGTTCCCAAATATTGTGAAATCTGGTTTTTTTTGTTTTTCCTAATAGGATGCAGCACAGATGTCAAGCAATCTGAGGAGCAATCTGCATCTGCAAGTGAAGAACTTTATCCTTTCTGCAGGGAGCCCAGTTATTTTGAAATCCCTACTAAAGAATGCCAGCAAGCTTCACAGGTAGCAGAGAGCCCTATTCATGAAATTCCCACAAAAGATACCCAAGGCTCCCACACAGCAGCTTCAGGCCACGCTTCCTTTACCATTGAATTTGATGACAACACTCCAGGAAAAGTAAAGATCAAAGATCATGTGACAAAATTCACGTCGGAGCAGCGTCACAGGTCAAAAAAGCCTTCTTCCTCCAGTGGTCAGGACCTGCCAGGGCTTCAGACGGTGATGATGGCTGCTGAAAGCAAGGTAGCAGATTGGCTTGCACAGAACAACCCTCCGAGAATGATATGGGAGCCAACAGAGGAGGACTCCAAAAGCATTAAGAGTGACGTTCCGGTGTACTTGAAGAGGCTGAAAGGTAAAGTGAATAATTCCAGCTATGCTTAATTCTGAAAGCAGCAATTCCTCACCAGCATGCAGTCAGAGGATCCTTGAGCCCGTGTGGAGTTCAGGTCAAATCAAAGATACTCCACACGTGTGCAAGGTTCTGGGCTGGGAAATTTTATTGCTGAATTTAGTCGTACAAAGAGCATAAGAAACCAAGTGCTGAATCATTTTACAATCAATATGCTACTTGGAGATGTTCTAGTGTGGCTGAAAATATCAGGTATTTAAACACTGATCTTGAAAAAGAAAAGGAAAAAACCCAAAATTTAGTTTAACTATATATCTCATTTTTTCTCATGAAGTACTTTAAAAACATGAATTGCTTTTTAGAATCAAAACTCTGAAGTCCAATTTATGCCTTCAGCAACTTTCAATAGCATATCTTCTGTGATTATTTGTGTGTTCTAAGAAAATCATTTATGGCAAAGAATACATTATATACTCATTCTGCTTATATAGATCATGTTTTGTGGAGTCAAGTTTGAGTCAGGAATCAGACATAAAGGAAGAGCTTCAATTTTTATACTCACCTTGTGGAGTATTGTATTCATATGAATGCTGCTGATGAATGGAGTTCCGGGTGATCATACATGTTAATTTATTGCAGACAGTAACATTTCAAATGAAATTAAATAACATGTTACACATGACAAGTGTACTTTCTCTTGAATGTCACTTAATGGCATAGAGAAGCAGATAGTCTTGATTTTCAGATGAAGATTCCTGTACCATTCAAACTTTCATATTGAAAACTTCTGATGAACTTTTTCAAGTGTCTCTTATTTTCTACTTTTAATTTCAGCTGGTTAACCCTACAATTCTCATTTTCCTTGGCTCTGCAACAGTATCACATCTAGTTTGTAAGCCATCTGGGACTGGGTACAACATTCTTTGCCTTATTGATCAAAAGTCTGCTTTTTCAGGCTGACCCTTTCAAACTAAGCTAAAAATAAATTTCTGAAAGCAGAATTAGATTAATGTGCTGGCATAAAGATAATAGTATATTATTTCTTCTGGTATAAATCACATTCTTTGGCATTCATGTAAATGTATTATATTCATGAACATTCTTTAACATACTAGCCATGACACTTTGATCAATAGAAGGGGCTTTGTTTATAAGTCTTTTCCTGACAGAAACTCCTCAAAGTCTGATTAATTTTCATCTGAAAGGTGTGTAATTTATGGGATGCATATGGCCATAATAAACATCTGAATTTTTTAATCTTCTATGGCCTGTTTGTGTTGTCATTCATTAGTTGTATTTTTGGATAGTAAATATACCTAGGTGCTTTGAAAGTTTGATTTTTAAAAAAAACTCAAAAAACTCAAAGCTTTTCTTTTCTCCTTAGCTTTTTCTTATAGTATTTTTTACTGAAGTCCCACTGCTAAAATTAGACTCTATGACTTTCACCGTGATGTTGATACTGCTTTATTATTATTTGGAAATATGTGAATCATCACAGAATTTTTGTAGGCACTATTGTAACAAGTAGAAAATAGGAATGTAAATTGGGATTTCAGCTGTGTTTTCAGTGGTGTCAGTCTGATAAGTAAGATTAGCCAATATGTAATTATTTTTTAATTGAATAGTAGCTGCATATTCTAACTATTTAAATGAGAAAACCTTAAAAAAACTAACTTCTTGAGAATCAAAAATACAGAAACTGGACATTATATATATATGTATATAGAAGCAGAATTTGATCTAAAAGAGATCAGAGAGGATGAAAGTGTTCCTTCCCAGGTACTGAGCTAAAACTTAGCTAAAACTTAGGCGCATTGACGCTTTCATTGTACATGAGGTTGCTCTCTGTTAAATACACTTACTATGTGTAAGTATCCAGCCTTCCGTACATTTTCAAGTATCATTGCAAAGCACGTCTTTAGGTGTATGTATGATTTATGAAATATGTAATCCTTATTCATACATCTCAGAGTAGTTTGCGGAATGAATAAGTAATAACCATTTTACATGTACAAATCAGATGCTGAGCGGAGTGAATTATGGAAAAACTCATTGCTCTTCTTGGAAAGAGTAATAAAGAATTCAATCCAAGTTTAAGTAGACATTTCTCATGATAAACTGTTGTAAATGTGAGAGGAATCCAGCAATATAAACTGTGGCTCATTTTCCAGTGTCGGAAGGCCTTTATTCAGCTTTTCTTTTTCCTCTTAACCCTGCCTGGAATGTGTCACTAGCCATTTGTAATCAACTGGCTCTGTAACAAAACTGTTATAATTCAAAAATATACTATAGTACAGCTGGTAAAATACTGGCTTTTTTATGTCACTGATCAGCATTCACAGATGAGAATACTGGGAAAAGGATACTTCAAATGCAGTGCTGTTACTGATCAGCTTCTAAAATGTTTCATTGTTTGACTTGTAGCAAGTTGATTGCATTTCTAGGAACTGTACCAAATTTGCAGAGCCAGGTACTGTAAGCTGTTGGAGTTTAAACAGAAATCCACTTTGAAATAATTTCCTTCCTAGTTTGCTTCTTTGCTTTTTTTGTTGGTGTAATGTTGGGGTCTTTCTTCTGTTTCACTGTGCTGTATATTGTTTTGCTTTGCTTGTAGGGAATAAGCATGATGATGGCACACAAAGTGATTCAGAAAATATTGGTGCACATCGGCATTACAGTAAACGGGCAGCACTTGAGGAACACTTAAGGCATCATCATACAGAGCTAAAAAAGTCACACCAGAAAGTCCATTCCACAGAAAAGCAGCAAGAGCAAGCTGGCTTGAGTCAGACTGCCTTTATGATTGAGTTTTTTGATGAAGACCATCCTCGCAAGAGACGTTCTTACTCTTTTTCTCAGAATGTAGGAGCTCTATGCCCAGAATCTCCATCGCCGACATCTCACGCACGAGCTGAAAGAGTGAAACCTGCCTCAGGAGAGAAAGTCCCTTCACCTGTGCAAGCTAGCTCATCACATCACAGAGCAGTACATGCTGTTCATGCCAAACATCTAAACCAGAAATCAGAAGAACCCTCTGCTGCATTACCTGCCTTACAAGCTGCATTGTTAAGGAGTTCAGGAAGCCTTGGCCATAGGCCTAATCAGAACCAGGAGATGGACAAAAAGTTGAAGAGCCAACATATTTCTGCTGCAACTGAAAAGGACAATGAGGATGACCAGAGTGACAAAGGTACTTACACTATTGAGTTGGAAAATCCCAATCCTGAAGAAATGGAAGCCCGCAAAATGATTGACAAGGTGAGAAACCTGAAATGCATTCTGATGTTACGAGTGTTATGGGATGTGTGGGCAGCTCTCTACCACTTTAGTTCTGCTTATTTAAGCTGCTGCAATAACACAAGTTTTTAAACCAGTCTATAATGTTGAAATATAAAATGTTGTAAGAGCAGCAGCAGGATTTGGTTAAACATTATTCCTTGTTTCATACTGCTGTTGTCTTAAAGTTTGGTAGTTTTAATGTGTTTCCAAAAGATTTCAATACTGAAAAAATACCAGGTACCAAAAATCATTTACCTGGTATTTTTATGAGGGTTGTTTATGTTCCTGTGGAAATATTCACTTGTTCTTGAAAGCCTTTTGTCTCTAGTTTTCATTACATAAATTGGTTGCATCCCAATTATCATATAGATATAGATCACAAATGTTTTCTATACTTATTTAATAAGTATATTCAGTAACAGTAACTTAAATTTCATTGTCAGCTATAATGAGTAAGTATAAAAATGCTTTGATTTTCCAATATGGAATGGTTTTTATATGCTAGCAATGTAAAATGTCTTAGTTTACTTATTGGTAACAATAGAAATATCAATAACAATACAAATAGTATTTGCCGTTTAAAAACTGTAAAGAATAACTGTTCTTTGGATTCAACAGGAAGCTATGGATAGCAGAAGCTATGTTTAATCATGTTGCTTAACATGGCTTGATTGGATTTTTTTCTGTTTTCTTGTGTTTTCCTAGGTAATCTATTATGGTAGAATTCCTGCATCCAATTCTAGTCTAGGATTTTGCTAATTTAACAGGAAATTCATCACTTACTTTTTTGAGAATTATCTAAGGATTCATTTGCATGTCTAAAACTTTTCAAAGCTGAACAAACTCATCAATACATTTAGAATTAATTTTGGCTAGTGTTGAAAACTGTTTTTTGCAAGACAAACTAGCTTCACTGGTTTGATTTTGTAAAACAATTCTGAAGTAGTGGGGAAATGGGACATTTTATTCTAGATGGTTTTCTTTAAGAAAAAGGTGATTATGGAGCATTTGGAAATAGGGATTAAAGTAAAGGGTGTCACCTTCAACAAAATGATAAAGATAGTAGTTTCTCCTCTTATGGATTCTGAAAAGGAAACTTTTGATTTCTTTGAATCAATATTCAAAAAACAACAAGCATTCCAAATGAAACAAGTAAATATTAAAGAACTACAATTTTCTCAATTTATTCTCAAATTATAAATCTTCAAATAAATCACATCAGAAAATTTGTAAGTTGAGTTTTAGCTAAATATAGTAGTTCAACAGGACTTTTTGTGAAACCACACAAAGTAATAACATTTGGAAATAGATAGTTTTTGTACTTGATAAAAATGTTAATACTGTCTAATATTTATAATCATATAATATGATGAGTTGGAAGGCACCCATTAGGATCATTGAGTTAAACTCTCGGCCCTACATAGGACATTCCAAGAATCACACACTGTGCCTGAGAGTGTTAATAAAATTTCAACTTTTTTGTGGCCTTCAGTACCTGTTCAGATTATCTAAAGTCAGTTCTTCGTTTGAAACAAATCTCTCCTGTTACAGGAGAGATTCAGGAACAGGAAGTGAGTGGAAGCCTTAAATATGATAGTGAAGTATTGCTTAGTAATCTTAGTGTTATATAAAGGCTTTTGGGTATCATAAATTTCCCTTACTGCTAACTTTAAATGTGTCACCACTAGGTATTAAAGATTTACTATGAAGTAAAGCGGAGATGTTTTTTCTTCAAGGTCTTCTGTATCATTTCACTTAGTATCTGTGTTGAAATCTTATGAACACTATATTTTACACCCAATTCAAAGAGCCCTGCTATGCAATTCTTATTTGATTTGGTAATATGAAGTAGTATGATACTCTTTTTATGAAGTGTAGAAAAACAGCCAACAAAGAAAATCTAAACCAAATGGAAGCCAAAATTTTGTCCTCCAGCTGAGATCAGCTTTGCTTCCCTCCTATTTTAAATTGCTAATGCTTTGGATAATCTTTATTTTGCCAAAGGAGGGAGGGTGAGGTATAAGACAAGGACTTTTGTTAGCCTGTTGACTCCTGTGCTTCTTTATTGAGGATTTAAGAGAGTTATTGGTATACATCTTATCAATTATTTCAGTATAACCACTCTCATTATTGGCAAGTCAGTCCTTTTTCTGAGTACTTACTATGCCTGCTCACTTGAGTCATTTAAGTGTGTCTCTTGGGTCCAAAGTTTAATTGAAATTCGAGAGTGTAATTTTCTAGGGTTGGGATGAAAATGCACTACAAATGCAATGATCATTTTCTAAAACATTTGCACAAATAATGCATTCTTCTCAGTAGCAATTTACATTAGAATGGTGCTAAAATCTGTGTGTGGTTTACCCGAAAAATTTTCAATGCAATAAAGTGCTTCTGGGTTTGGATATTTTCTCCCTTTTATTGGAGGAAAGGATGAGCTTGACCAAAGTGTGACTCATTCTTAGCCTTAGTCTTCTCTTTTCTCTGGAAAGAAACATAAGAGCAAACCACAATGCAAGAGTAGTATTAACTTCTAAAAAATCAAGGTGAGAATATTAATGCTTCTTTACATTAAGAATCCAAGAGAAACATGCAAGAAGTCAAAGTTAAAATTCTCAGAAAAAGAATTGAAAACACCTATCTGTCTGTGTAATTCTAAGAAAAGAGGAGTAAAAATCTTAATGTTGAGCTATATTACTTCCTTCGAAAGTACTATTTTTGCTTAGTGTAGCCTTTTGCTAAAGATTCAAGGAAATAGTCTCAAGATGCTTGTGTGAAATGATTTTTAAAAGCCAGAAACTAAGCTTTCCTGCTTATTCAGCATTTTTATTTCATGTAGATTGCTAAGGATCCAGTTGTTCCTCTGGTGCTCTTTCAGCCTCTAAGAAAAAAGTACTGTCACTATAGCAGAAAAGGAGTAGAATAGCAAATGACAGAGCCTTTATTTCTCAACCATTGTAAAGCCTGACTTTTGAGAATGTGAGAAAAATGCATTATAAGAAAGAAAGAGGAAAACATTTCATAAGTAACAGACAAAAGCTTTTTAATTTTTATTCTTTCTTCTAACAGAGAGGGGTAATCACATATCTACAGTCATGACTGTCTTGGGGTGAATGTCTTCTACTTACCTAAAATGCAAGTTTTCAAATACATTATAGCTTGTGTCTTATACAACTTTCAAAGATTCCTTTTAAAAAAGATTTTATTTTAAGATTTTAAAATACAGTACATATGCACATAGTTTTCAATTGTAAATGTTAAAAGAAGATGCAAGTAGAAATTTATGGTTATGTCTTAATGTTCTTTATGGATAGAGAATACTTGAAAAATAACACTAAACTTTGCTTCCTAAAAGTCCTTTCATTAGTCAATGATATCTCAGGTGTTCAAATGTCACTTAAATTCATAGAGGAGTATGAACTGGTTAGTAGTCTATGGTTTAGAAAATAAATATATTAATAACATGAGAAGAAAAATAGATGAGGGATCTCTTTTTATACATGTAGAGCTCTTTTTAAAATTGCCCTTGAGAGCAATTTCATTAATGTTGTAAGAAAGCAAGCTGCTCTTGTATACCATAAAGCCTATCTTGAACATACGTGTCATAAAATATCCTCTACTCAAATAGCATCAGAAAGACACGACTTTTTCTAGCAGAATAATGGTCTTATTGTTGCAACTAACAGCTAAGTACAAAACGAAAGAAATACAGGATCTTGATTTAATTTAGAACATGTTTTCAGTGTTAAGTTTACCATATAAAATGCATGAGTAAATGGGACACAGTTGTAGGATTTGTTTTTCCTTTACATCCAGCCTTTACGCTCTTTAGATAGATTCAATGCTTTCTTCTGTTAGCACTTAGCAATTGCTTTCTTTTAATCTCTGAGTTGTAAATTTTCTATCCATTTTATGTTTTTTAACTAAATCTATCTATTAGAAGAAAGTTATTCTCAGCAGTCACGTCACATTAAAAAATCTTCATAGGCCACAGCAAAGGTAAGTCTGCCAGTGGATGAAAGAAAGAATTTTAAATGATGCTTCTGCAGTTCAGCTTCCTTTTTTGTAGATATAAAAGAGACAAAATTATCATGCTAATGCCTTTCCTTTTTCAATAAAGCAAAGTACTGCCAGTAAGAAATATTAATAAATGAATGTGCAAATAATTCTGCATGTGTTTGGAATATTAAATACTTTGAGGCTATTGCAGTAAATAAAAAGCAACTCAATGTGTTTTTTCCAAGTTCTTTGGGGGTTTTCTTCAGGGCTCTTTTTCTGTTTGTTTTGTGTAGGGTTTTTTGTTGTGTTTCTTCTTCAGCCAGTTTCATTTTAGGGTATTTAAAAATTGAAATATTTTGTAGAACTTACTATAGCACATGTAAGCTCTTCTATACATGTGTGGGAAGGGATGGAATAGAATTGAGGCTATATGAGTGTTTCAAGTCCTGTGAGAACCAGGAAACTGGAATGTTATAGCAGTTCATATGCATACGGAAGCATTTGGCTTAAAATTTTCTTTGGTCCCCAGACTTTTTACTTGATTTATGTTATTTTCATTTACATTTCCTAAAAGATAATTGATTTTTTCATCAGCAAAGTAAATGTAGATCGCAATTTCCACTGATGCATTCTATTTCCAAATAGAAGTCTTGAAAAAATGTATCAAAATCAAACCTCAATCCATCCTGCCACCTTCACTGACCATGCCGTGACTTTGTTTTTAGTGCAAGCTCCATATTCTAGATGTTTTAAAGTCTTTATTTATGTAGATAGGCTTTAATAGCAGTGATCTTGATTTTAATGTGCAGTCTATCACCTTAAATTTTATTTGATTACATACTGTGCAATGAGTATACATAAAATCTTACTCTGTTGACACAATCATGAGAGAGAGATTCTTCTTTCCTCTTTAACATTTTGGAATAGTAATTATGGAGGGAAAACTGTATCAGTGTTCACTGTAGACAGCAGGTTTTCCAATT